CGGGAGGGAACGGCCCCCCCGGGGCGGCCCCCAGCCAGCAGAGGCGGCGGGGGAGCCGTGTGCTGCTCAGGACTGACCAGCACAGGTAGGGGAAAGTGCAGCTGAGCCCCTGCTGCTCCGGCTGGGCTCATCCTGTCCCGAGAGGCACACGGCTACTCCTCTCCCCACCCGCACCGTGTCAGCAATGTCAAGCTGACGTGGTGCCTGTGGGAACTATGTCCCTTCCTCAGCCCTTCAGCAGGCATTAGGAAGCTGCCAAGGGGCTGGGGGAGGGACAAGGGGTGGGAACAAAAGTAAACAGTGCTTACTTTTGTTTCCCGTTGCAGCACCGCAGGCCTCAGAAAATGCCTTGGCAGGCCGTATGTTGGACAAGCCTGTTCTAGGCACTTTCCACAGTGCCCTTTTGATATCTAAACTTCTGATGACTAAGAACTACAAAATAAACACAACAGTGGCTCCCAAACTTTTGGAACCAACAGACCACTGTCAACCATGAACGTTTCTTGCAGGTCCCCACAAACCCATATCAATTTTTAACTGAAAACACTATAAAGACATATAGGACCTGGTACAATTCACAGCCCACTTAGCATGGCCTCATGGGCCACGCACTGGAAACCACTTCTCTAGTGTATACATGTTAATCCCACTTGACACTAACTCCGATACTCCCAATAACACTAACTCTTGATTAGATTGTCACCCCGAGCACACAAAAACTCATCAAGTGATAAAAAATGTATTAACGAAAAATTCCAAAGACATTAAAAGGAAAGAAAAAACTGCCCTGATAAATCTAAGTGCCAGTCTACGTGAGAAATGCAGCCAAATTAATCAAGTCCCTATGTGGGTACTCATTCAGAAGTTCACTTCAATTTACTTTGGAAATCCACACAGGGATTTAATATATTTTGAGCACTCTGAATCACACCTTCTGTTAATCAGCTTGCTTTTTTTTAATATTGCCATTTACACAAGACTTCAAGAAAAACAGAAGACATGGAGACAATGATTATGAACAATTTCACAGAACACACCACAGTATAGCATATTGAGAAACTCAACTTATATATCAAAATTAGATTCCACTGGGAAATATTCTACCAGTAAGGCTCCATAAAAATTAACAGGTAAGATGTAATTAAAACTTGTGGAGGGAAGGGAACATAGTATAAGAGTATGAATCTATATCAATAAAACCATTTTTGCCACAACATTCTTTGAGTTTTCAGGAAGATGGAAACAAATTTGAGATGAAGAATTTTAAGATGTTCTGCAACAGGTTAAATAGCAAAGAAACACTTAAAGTAGCCAAGCAGGGAACACCCCAAATGGTACAAGGGAAGAGTATAAGCCTGAGAGAGAAACATGTTTAAGTTGGTCAAAGTCCTAATTATAGGGGCTTTTTGTTTCAAGGAAGCATGATTCTGTTTTTTTCCTACCTTGGAAAACATCTAGCTGCAAAAAGGAATCTGAATAACATCTTATCTTATTCTGCTAAGCTGAGAAGGCCTCTATGGAGCAATTGTGAGCAGCAGCCCCCCCATCCCACTTCCCCTTCCCCTTTTGAAGCTACTGCAAGTATATGTATGTCCATACCTACCAAAGCAAAAACAGAAATTGCTTCACAGGACTTAAATAGACCCCTAAAAATCACCAAGCCACTCACAATCTTGTAATAATGCATACATACTGTAGGCTGTTTCTCAGACCTAGGATCTGCCTCCTTTGAGATAAAGTTAAACTGAACATATAAATCTGATGTGTTTTTAGTAACAACTTATTTTAAAAAAAGCATTCTAAAACAGATGACTTGGAACTCAGTTATACAGTAGATAATGGATTAAAAAGATAATGATGAACTTTTATTTTTTTATCTTAGTTAATGTATAGTTTTAAAAAGAAAGGGAGGGAAGATAAATAATTGGCTTGCTCCATCTAACATTATAGAATTTACGCTAACCCCAGTCACATCTATTACATCATGCAATCTTCCCATTCATGGTGCAAGAGCCTTCTCTTCTGCAATCCTTACTTTTTAGGACGGAAAATTCCCATTTCCCCCTACTTCAGCAATTCTCAGTCTTTTTGAATGTCAGCTGCATATCATCTTTCTCCTTTATCTATATCAGCTATTGTACTCTTAATTTTGGAGCTATAATTTATAGGAAAGAAAATGCATTTTTTAAAAGCTCCATTAAATATATATCATCAAATGAGTGGCTGAAAACTTCAGTTTATGATTTCAAGGCCCATTCACATATTTTCCCTTCCTGGGTAATCAAAGAACTGTTTTGAAGCATTTCAATTCTCGATGTACATGGGGCATGCGTGGCCCATCGGCTCTGCAGAAAAACCTAGACCTCTATTCTCTCCTCTACAGGAGGGTAGGGAGAGAAAGCGGGGATGGGTTATTTGCAGGCTGAAGACCTGAAAAACTGTAACAGTCTGGTCCGACTCCTTCATCCTGACCACTCCTAAACTTGGAGGTCTGACACCACTGCTGCTGGGCTCTTTGTCCCCAACTCCCTCTATTTGGGTAGATGAGAAAGGAAAGGAAGAAAGGATTTGGAATGGACAGTCAAACTCCCCCTCTGCTTCCCCTCTCACCCATCCAAAGACATCTTCCACCCCTTGTAGGACCTCCTAGCTGGAGAGCCATATGCTGCATACAGCTGCAGTAATTTGAAATGTTCCAGCTGGGCAGTGCCACAGAAGCTGGACATATGCCCCCCAGCTGAAAGTATTCCTTCCTGAATTGTTTCCAAGCCAGCATCACTTGAAAACTTGAAAAGTTCCTTCTGTCCACACACTGAAGTGCAGCGGATGGCATCTTCTACTTACAAATCAGGTCCTCCATTTCCAATATTCTTGTCCTCCAATGTTTTATGCTAATAGAAACTTGAGAAACTTTAGAATTGTGCTTCATTTCTCAAAGTTTCTATGCATAACATGCAGCTGCAAAATTTCAAATACATTGCAAATTTCACCAGCCTCATACTGCAACCAAGAGAGGCAACAGAAGCACCTAATGTTCACTTCTGGAGAGATAATACTAGAACTGATGTCCAAAAAAAACTAGTTATTTTATCAAAGAGATATCCGATACGTCTAGCAAATTTAACTTTGGTACACTCATGCTGCATTTTACCCCATTTATTGCCATATGTTTTACTTATTCTTTCCTTTAAAATCTGTTCAAACACCTTGTATATTGTAAACTCAAACTAATGAGACTCTAGCTGCTCAGATCACCTCTTCCCTTTAAGTATAGGTAGTACATTGCTTATCTCCAGTCACATGCAACCACTCCTGCCTATGATATCTTCATTACAAACCTTTCCTACTTATTTCATGTGTCACTTATTTTAGAACTCTGATGTACAGATTATCCCAGTCTGTCTACACCCTCCAAGTCAAATGTACTGGAGCTCTTTTATTTTTGTTTCTGCTTCAGATGAAGTATTTTTCATTTCCATTAGCTATCCTGCCTTTGCACGTGTTCCACATCATCATGCTTATTTAAATTTGAGGCACATCATCAATTTAGGTTTTTGGTCCTATCGCGATTTTCTTTAATCTCTAAACCAGAATTATGTCATAGCAGCCCAATTCATTCTCTCTTTTTATTTATACGGCTGAAGAGATTTTTGCTATTTAATTTATTTTGCAAGTTCTAGCTGTTTTACTTTTGGCAATTCTTACTTTGCATTTTCCCTTGCTGACCTCCAAGACATGGCTTTCTTTGATTACCAACCTATTTTTCTATTTCTTATATACTGTCTACTTATCCCAAAAACCCTTTTTGAGGTGGATACTTATCTAGTTAGTTGTGAAAACCTTCCCTAAAAATGTTTTACCTTGCTTGCGGCGGCAAGGGGGGGG